AGTTTTCCAACAAATGTGAGTTCAGGACGAAATCTGCACATCTTAGTAGTAATTCAGTAATAGTGATTTGCGTAGAAATCTGTTTTTTAATTTTTTTAAAACAAGATTTCATAAAATTAATTAAAAATTCATAAGTATAATTGCTAAAAAGTTACCAAAAAAAAAAGTGAGTTCACGACGAAATCTGCCCATCATAATAGTAATTCTGCAATAGTAATTTGCTTAAAAACCTGTCTTCTTATTTTAGGAAAAAAGCAAGATTTTTTAAAAAATTATTTAGAAATTCATGAGTTTCATTGCTGAAAAAATTTACAAGAAAATGTGAGTTCACGACGAAATCTGCCCTTCAAAATAGTAATTTGAGTAAAAACCTTTTTTTTTTAAATAAAAAAACAAGATTTTTTAAAAAATTATTTAGAAATTTATGAGTATAATTGCTGAAAAAGTTACCAAAAAAATTTGAGTTCACGAAGAAAACTTCCCAAATAAAGTGTTTGTTTAAAAAAGTTTATATTTAAATGCGTGATTCGAAATTCAAGTGTGTAATATCCTATTAAATCTATCGGGATTTCAAAATACCATGAAGAAATTTGTAACAGGTTCTGATAAATTTTTACAATGAGTAAAAGTTTGAAAATGTTACCAACCATCCCTCGAAAAAAAGTTTATAAATTTCAGTCAAATTAATCAAATTAATTTTAGCCTTTAAAATCAAACTAATTTTAGTCAATTTTCAATTAAATTTTTTTGTTTGTCAAATTTTGGTTAATAAGCTAATTAAATATCTTTTTATAAATCCATCTGAAGACCAAATATATTTTAACGCAGCATGACTAAAAAAGAATGAGCTTATAAAGTGATAATGATGGCTTTTATACTACAGTGTTGTTAAATAGGAATTTAACATTTATTGTAATAACACTTTCGAATAATAATATCGCAGCTCTGCACAAGAACTCACAAATCTTTTCTCATACATTTTAAAGACATCCTAGTTTCAGTTTGTAAACAGAACAACATCGAATGTAGTGTCTGAGGAGAGCTTATCATTCGGCCTACAATCATCTCTTATTGGACAATGAAACGATAAAGGAGCCAATCATCAGATGAAGGAATGAGAGTCTTGGAATTCCGCTAAAGACGATGTGAATAAGTGTAAGGCTGATAAGCCGAAGACGTAATAGAAAAACTTTTCTTTTATTGTGGCATCAGTCTGATTTCATCTTTACCGCGAGCTTTGAAACAGGACTTTTCCAGTTGGTTGTTGAACTTGATGAGGCTAGGGGGCTTCGGCCCCTAAGCTAATTTTTTGGAGTGTACTCCTTGAGAGTATCATTTTTGTGAGCATGGATGTATCTGTTAATGCATGTGCTCGTTAAAAATAACCATGCACTATAATCCTTTTACATCTGAGATTATACTTTTTAATTCTTTGCTTTCTTAGCAATTTATTTATATTGTAGCCAGGAGGAACATACTCCGGCAATTTATTTTGTGACTTAGTTAAATGATGAGTATTTTTATGTTTAAGTAATTATGATAGTTCAAAGATAGCCAAGACAGTAAAAATGTTTTTGTAAGGATACTTTTGTTTCAATTGTCCTTGATGTTTTCTGTTCTAATTAATTGTTTGATTTTAGATTATTCTAAATTTCTTTTTTTGACTCTAGAGAATTGAGCTTTCCACACGTTTCTCACAACCCTACGATCTTAATTTAATTTCCAGCACGTGTTACCATTTTGTCGATCACTATGAATGATTATTATAACATAATGTTTAAGAGTAGATTTTAATTGCAGCATTATACTTGTAATATATTGATTCCACATGAGATTTGAATTTATCTTTTATTCTCAATTTTTACACGTGCTGATTTCTGATTAATTTATACGGCCAGTTAGTTTTGATCTGATATTCTTAATATTTAAATTTAATCATCCAGTTTACTGAGATGAATGTTTAATATATTAAATAATGTTAATAAGTGTGTATGGTAACGAAACCAGGTCGATTATAAATAGTATTTTAATGATGCAATATAATACATGAGAATAAGAAAGAAAACTCTAGAACATAATAAAATCCAAAATTGCCAAGTTCTAGCTTTTTTTTAAATAAAGCTTTTGATACCACAAAATTTCGATTTTCGATTATCCTTTTCATTTGAAACATTAGTTACACACGAAATATTCTGTAACCACCCATAATGCATTGCTTTTGAATTCTGTTTGAAAATAATGTTCAGAAGTCACAAATAAATATATTTCGAGTCGCAAATAAATACTTCAGACAGGGAGAAACAAAATCGATTTAAAATTTGCCAAATTGCAATTCAGTTTGATTGACCAGTTTCCAACAATCAGACAGGTTTTGATATTATCAGTCCCGCAATCGGCTTGTTGGCTTTTGAGAGCGATTTTTTTTTTAATTCCTCTTTGAAATATTAATTTGGAATGTCTAATTTATATACTTTTTTAAGTAATTTTTGAGAAGGTTTCTAAATATATTTTTTTTCAATTATTGAAAATGCCTTATATCATGCTTAAAATATTGAACAGAATATTTTCGTTCAAGAGATTTAAAATATTGTTTTTCTGAACTTAGTATAAAGTCAAAGGATATGTGAATGATTTAGATATTTGTTTTATTAAAAAAAGTAGTGTACGAATATGAAATTGAAATAGACTAATTTTTAAATGTTTGTAAACTGTGTGGTGTATTTAATACTTTTAACAATCTTTTCATTTTAAGGTTTGAGACTATTATTGAAATATCTAATCAAGAAACTAAACACAGATAGAAATATCTTTATCAATGAAATACTATTTAAATGATAAAATTTTTTTTTAAATGGTGTTATACTATCTTTCAATTAGAAATTTTAAAATTTGTTTTAAAAGATGTTGATATTTTATTTTTTAGTGTAAAAGTAATACTTTTTGTAAAAGTAACACTAATATTTTATTTTTAGGTTTATAATTTTCAGTAAAAGGAATATTAATATTAACTTTTGGAAAAATGTATTTTTATATTAGTTAAATTTTCTAATTTTGATTCGAATGTGAAATATATTGATAGAATGTTATACACCAAAAAGCTTTCGATTTATAAAATATTTTGAAAATTTTATTTCAATTATGAAATTTAACTGAACTTTCCTTTAAATAGAATAAAATGTTTCAGGAAAAATACGAAGACTTACTATCAGTTTACATGCCATAAAAAAGTTATATACTGCACTAAAAATTTATATAAATGGCAGAAAGTCGAAAATTTATTTATCTCGATGTTCTTAAAGCGTTGCTAACTCAAGTTAAATGTTTTAATTGTCTTCTTTTAATCAAATACGGACAAAAAAACTAAACTTTTCGCCCTGGAATTCGAGTATTTGCTGTTACCCATGAAGAGATTATATTAAAAGAGGGTATTTAATTGGTTTTAAACCAGAAATCTAAAACACAGAATGTTCAGCAGAAATTAAAAACTCTTACGGTAACAGTTGAGCTAAAAAAAAAAAGAAATATGTGAAGCATATTTTTATATTTTTTTGCTGGCAATCTTAGTATTTAAAAAAAAACCCAGAAAAAAGCAGTGTGTATGCAAAAAAAAAAAANAAAAAAAAAAAAAAAAGGAAGAAGACATATATGAAGCATATTTTATATTTTTTTCCTGGCGATCTTAGTATTTAAAAACAAAAAAACAGAAAAAAGCAGTGTGTATGCAAAGAAAAAAGAAGGAAGAAGACTTATCTGAAGCATATTTTACTTTTTTCCCTGACAATCTCAGTATTTAAAAAAAAGAAAAAAAAAAAGCAGTGTATATGAAAAAAATAAATTTAAATGTGTATATGCACAATTTATGAAACGTTAACTTATTTCCTTTTTATGCTGTATTTAATCCTTAATAGCTCTCAAAAATTGCTGAAAATATTTCTTTTACTTAAAAATAACTTTCTCTAAATTTGTTGTGAGTGCATGACAAAATAATCCTCCCGTTAATAAGAAATTGTTCGAATTCACGCCTGGATCTTTATTTGCAGCAGTATTGCGATTTCTGTCGTAGAAATGTACCTTTGTGATAATTTCAAAGATTTTACCCGATTGAAAACTTCATTCACTTCAAAAATATAAAAATCTGAAATGACCGTCGACATGTTTCAAGCGTTTCAAATTCGGCACCCATTTTCTAGACAGCCGGACGTGAATGTAGACAAAAATAATTTCAAATAAAGAAAGAAAAATGCAAAGTTGATAATGAAAAATGGATAAAAATAAAGGGGAGAAATAACTAGAAAAACCACAGAAGTTGAGAGAGAAAAAAAGATGAAAAAAAAATAAAGGGGAGAAATAACTAGAAAAACCACAGAAGTTGAGAGAGAAAAAAGATGGAAAAAAAATCAGAACAAGAAAAATCACAGTGGCAGAGAGGCAAAACAGTGTGAAATGCATTTCCACGCTTTATGGAGAGGTGGTGAGGAGCTAACGTCATTAACAAGGTAATCAGCATTCAAATGAATAAAGCAGGATTCCAGAGCATCGAAATGACCTGATGTGACTGCATGGAGATAATTTTATCTTTGTCGAATTTAAATATATCCGAGATTAAAACAATATGAAGTAATTGAAGATTTCACGAATTCTTGAAAGCTGACATACCCATCGTGTTCATTATGTCTAACTTTTAAAGCGCTGTTTAGTTTGGCCGATGTAGCCAATGTCGCTCTGAAAAGGAATGTGGTAAATGCACCAAAGATTATCAAAGCTAATAGCATCCTTAAGTGACTTAAATTTGATTCTGTTAACAGGCTAAAAAACTACTTTAATAAAAAAAGTAGAGAGGTTTTGTTAATGACTTTAAAGCCAAAACGGGAGAGATTATTTATATTAAAAAATTGTTAGGACAAAAACAAACGAAATCAACTTGTTACATTTACTTTTTATATAATTTTAAATCCTTAAGATATCTAAAAAAAGCTGAAAATATTTGTTTTCCTTTGCAGTGACTGTCTCTAAATTGATCGGGAACACGAAAGAAGATGATGTACGTGTTAGTAAGAGATCATTTGAATGTAAGCCTGGATCCTTTATTTGCAACAGTACAAAGATTTGTATCGCCCAAATGTTCATCTGTGATGATTTCAAGGACTGTGAAGATGGGTCCGATGAATGGAATTGCAGTATGTATTTGTGTCCTTAATATATTTTATAGTATATTTATGTTTTACGTGACCATTATTATAACGCATTCAAATAGCCTATATGCACAAAAATGTGAGGATGGATCCGATGAATGGAATTGCAGTATGTATTTGTGTCCTTAATATATTTAATAGTATATTTATGTTTTACGTGACCATTATTATAACGCATTCAAATAGCCTATATGCACAAAAATGTGAAGATGGGTCTGATGAATAGAATTGCAGTATGCATTTATCTCTTCAATATATTTGTTTCCTTAATAGTATATTTATGATTTATATGACCATTATTATAACACATTCAAATAGCTTATATGCGCAAAAATATGTTTATATCAATAGAAGAAATTGATTAAATGTCTTTTATTTTCTTTGTCTGGTTCAGATCTAAAATTCTGCTGAATAAATTTTGTAAATTTTTTTTTTGAGTTCACATGAGGTTGGTTCAAATGAGGCAATTGAATACCCTAATAGATCCCCTATACAACATACTTTAGATTTTTATATGAGTTTTGCAACTCTCAGAGAAAAAACCTTTGAAGCTTTGAAAATCGTTTAGTTCCATCCAAAAATTTCATGGCACATAAAATTTCGCTTTACAAAGTTAGAGAGTTTAGTAGTTATTCTTTACAAATCGAATAAATTGCACAGGTATTCCAATTTCAAGTTGTATTTTTATTCGTAAATGACTTAAATCATAAAGGTAAACGTTTTAAAAATTCCTAAAATAGCGAAATTCAAGAAGATTATCATTTTAAAATTCTCTATAGGCAGACAACAACTTCATTATAGGGCTTATAGGTTTATAATTTTAACATTCTGAAACATTCTGATAAAGAATTTCGTATGAGGGAGAAGTTCACTGTATAAAGTCTTTATTTCAGAGCGATTCTTGTAAATTCATTTTCTTTGACTCTCTTATAAAAAAAAATAATGCAATGGATCAGAGGTCTCCAGCCCTATCTGCAGACCGATACCAGTCCATAAATCAAATGGTACCAGACCACCCAAGGACTATTTATTTATTTCCATTTTATTTACTGTGATTTATTTATTTCGGGTTCGCACGATTTTCCATGAGGTTAACCGGGATCTGAGAATGTCACCTATAGGCTAACCATTACCGCATATGCAATTGTATTTCATTTTGAAAGTATGCTTAAATACAATTAAATTAAAATCATAAAATCAAAACAATCTAAAATATAAACGATCAACGTTACTCCAACCTTCTCAGCGGGCCGCGGTAAAATTATCTAACGTTTACCAATTCGTAGTGATAAAATGGTTGGGGAGCACTGAGATCGATGTCAAAACAATTTTATTTATTACTCCTAAAATGCAACTTTCGAGCATTATTTGCTTATAACAGATCTGTTAACAACAAAATTTCCCGCTCATTCCCTCAGTAGTTTAAACACACTGTTCTTCGAGATGAGATAGTATTTAGCGTGCTTGCGAATAGGTCAGCAAATTTTAAAATGAACATTAAGATTTTTTATTAAAATTTAAAAGTATTTTTTATGATAAAATTTTTCTAAAGATGAAAAGTGTTAATTTAGAAATAGAGCATAGAAGCTTATTTCTACTCCTACATTTTCTAAATACTGGTTGTCATAATTTAAGGAAAAATTACTAACACAGAAATAACTCTCTTAAAAATAAGCCAATCGCTATGAAATTCAAACATGTTGTCAAGTAAGAGTTGCTAAGAAACTTCAACATGTAAATTAGTGTTGCCACTATAGACTGACGTCACCTGCAATGAGCAAAAACTCTGCTTGATCGCAAGTTTGCGAATTTCCTTATGTTTCTGAAATTGGAAATTTATTATAGTCCATTTGTAACAATGACCTCAAGGCATTATTTGCCCAAAGAACTGCGATGGAGGTCTAGTGGGAGACTAGATGCAGAACAAAGTCAACAGTGGCCAGAACTGCGAGTTCGTCTGTGGTTCATAGACTTTGGCAACAATTTCTAACCGCAAGTTCGGCATCCAAAAGGTTAAAGGCTCAGCTAAGGTCGTCCAAAGCCAACACCGACTACCGATATGTATAGGGATTTTTCCGAAGAAATAGAACAGCATCTTTGAGTCACTTTAGATCCTTTTCTAGTGCGCAAGATTGATGCCAACGTCTACTGTATGTGTAAAGGCTTAATGAACGTGGTTTGTTTACTAGGCAATCAGTCATTTACATGTCATTCTCCTCAAGCCATAGAAGGGAATATTTGAGGTAGGTGCAACAACACGTCCACTGGACGGCAGACAATTGGAGAGCTGTTCTCTTCAGAGATGAATCCGAAATTAGCCTCCAAAGCGATGGCAGGTGTTTGATTTGGAGGAAACCTGGAACCTGATATTGTCCACCAAGAGTCCGTGAAGGGAGTGCTTGTGTGAGGAAAGATATCTCGTAGAGTAAACACACAGACCTGCATGTCTTTCCACGTAGAACCATAAATGCTCACTTGTATAGAGATGACAACCTTGATTCTTATGCGTGCCCTTTTGCTGGTGCAATAGGTGAAGTTTTCGTGCTACAGGACGATAACTCAAAGCCTAACAAGGTTCGCATAGTTAATGATTATTTTTAGCAGCAAACAATTCCATTCATTGAGTGGTCATCTCGATCACCGGACTTGAATCTAATCGAGCATGTTTGGCATGCTTTAAGAAGACTTGTAGCTGCTTTCTTCAAGAAAATCATAGCAAAAATGTGTGCGTTGAATCAAATTTTTTTTGGAAAAAGAAATCGGGTCAAATGCCTTTTTTTTAACGGTTTTAAAGAAGTTAAATCAACATAATTAGATAAATGCCTCAAACTATATAGTTCCAAATACATTTCGGAAATTAATTGGAAAAGACATTATATAATAGCCATTATATAGTAGTAGTTCTCGCGCAGGCGTTGTGAACCTCAACTAGCGTTAACGTTAAAGTAAGAAGGAACAGTAACAGTTTGCAAAATTTCGCTATTTGAGAGATAGGAGTAAACATAACGCTTTGCTGAATTACTCTATTAAAAAGATTTTGCGTAGGGTTATGAATTACCTTAGCACTAACGTTACCACCGTTTGAACTTCACAGAGCATGTGTAAAGTTTTCTCTACAAATCAATGACCCTAAGGTATAGAAAATGAAGCTAGCGTTGCGGTCAACGTAAAAAAAAAACGCTATTCAAAAGTTCTGCCTTATCTCCTCTGCTAGACGTTAAGACTATTTGAATTTGAGGAGGCCTTTTGACTGCTTACGTTCAGACTTATTCAGTCAAAAAACATGATTTGATGCAATTGGTCTTCAATATTTTATACAAAATGCTAACAATTTAAAACGAAAGGTTTAGAAGTTGATTATTTAGTGTACTTAAGTTAAAAACTTAAGGTAAATTCCATTTAAGTTCCAAGAATGAATATATATATATATATATATATATATATATATACTATTTATGATCAATTTTTAAATTTATCCAGTATAATATTACCTTGCGCACATCCATTTCGGGCCCATCCTTGGTAACTAACAAATCAAATCTCAGAATAACAAATCACTTCAGCAGTGCAGTAAGAACGACACTTTAAAACCCTCTTGTTACACTCAATTTGCGCTTTTGTTTTCATCTTTTGTTTTCATATTTTGTAATCTGGCAATCTTTCTGCGAAAACATTTTTAAATCATTCTTGAAAAATATCCGTCCATGTAAGTTGTTATGATTTTGCTACTCGCTTTATAGTCCCCCCTTTTTAATGTTTTTTCTTTTTATTTTATTTTATTATCTGTTTTTACATGTTATTTTTACTTTTTATGATCTATTTTTATGTAGTTATTTTATAAAAAAATTTTTTGAGTGCTCCTCACACTATTGTATTAATATATTTTGCTTTGGCTTTATTGATACAATATCAGAAAGCACTCTGTTTTGTGGATATAACTTATTTTGTGGTGTGGGCTGAAGAAAAGATTATACCTTTTTTTTCCGGTTTTTTAAAATAAAATTTCATTCTTTTTTATTTTTATTTTTTACATATATATATATAAACAGTTGTTTGTTATTTTTTTACTTATTATTCCCCCCCTTTTTTTCATATGTTTATAATTTTTCTTTGTTTCATTCTTCATTTAGAACATATATATATATATACACTATATACTAGCTGACCCGCCAAACGTTGTTCTGCCATATGAATTATTTCTTCTAGAGTATGGAAATATATCTCATTTATTGTAAGTGCGTGCGTATGTGGTATATGAGTGGAGGAGGCATGGAGCGCTGTGAACGATGACGGAATGTGAAAATTACAACACACCAAATAAATTTTTTTTAAAATTTATTGTAACTTTTTTTATAAATTATATATACAACGAATTCTGAAAATATTAGTCAACAATATTAATCTCTTAGTGCAATGGAGTGTACAATATTTTTTATCATTCCATCTTTAGCTAACACATATAAACTGGATGGTTTGCCCACTCGAGAGCCACATATAATTGTCCGTGTGAAAAACATGGTGTGCTCAAATCAAAGCGACAAACAGACATTGTTTGGTCTTGAAATTTACTAATAGTCATTGCAAATGCCAATCTAACGGGGAACTGAATGAGTTTAAATTGAATTGGCGCATCTGTGGGTATAATAGGGATTCGTGGAAGTAATATACTTTCACCCATTTAAAATAATGACTTCGATAACGTTGTTCATGAATTTTTTAACGACTAATCTTGGGCCGTTGGACAGCCGTGTTGGGTTCAAATTACAAAGCAAAATAACCGGAGATCCAACTTTCCGCTGGCGGGGATAGTTGATCAAGTGTTAATTGATCAACTATCGACCGGGGATAAAAAATATAAAATGCTATTAAAAATTAGGGGTTGGTGGTAGGAGATTGAAAATTAACGACTGGATGTATTTTTAAATGCCACACCATAAAAAAAACAACAACAAAAATTTGTTCAAAAAATGAAAAAAAAAAAAGTT